ATCTTTCTACAAAATAACCAATCTGAAATATATTCAAGTGACCTCTTTCTTTTCCTTTCAAAATATGGCTTTGCAATTGCATGTATATGACTGGCCACTAACTAATTATTGATCACGTGCTGTATTAAACACACAAAATGTTCTTGATGGTAGTTATAAGTTTCAGCTGATAAAATTGTGCAGTAGGTTACTGATGTTTATTTCTTCAGTAACAAGAACAAAGACCCGAACTGTAAACCATTGCCGCCAGGGATGGCATATACATACATGCCATGCCTACTGTAAGTTTAGTTTATTAATTGTAATTACAGATAGATGGCTCCACAAGTAATCAGTCACCTGTTCATTCTACGTGGATCTATATATCTCCTGTTTGCCATTTTCCTTGATTTAAGGAAACCGTATTACTATTCTCGACATTATCATTATAATAATGATGTCATCAATATAATATTATTGGCATGGGGGGGGGGAGATCAGCTGAGGTTATGCAGCCTACTAATTGACTCCTTGGCTGAGCACTTATGGAACCATCTATGCATAAACACATTTCATGAAACAGAACTACAGTTAACATTACATGTTACTTGCAGCAATAGGTTGAATAGTTTTTATACAAAAAACAAATATATATATCAGAGCATCATATCCTAGCCTCAATGATATATAATAAATAAAGTCCCTCTATCTACCAACTTCCATCACCTGTTAACAATGAAGATAACATACATTAACAATAAACAACATTAACAGACTGCAAACTGAGAAACAATAAATGACTTTGAAAATAAATTCTTAGAAATAAAAATTCAAAAATTTCTCAATTCACTGTGGCTGTAGAGTTGCTGTCATCAGTATCCCAATGCATTAAAGCTTATTCTAAGTACTTAGCAATGTCCAGCATAAAAAAAGAAAAAAAAAAGGGAAGGTTCAGTAGCTGACTAATAGTAGTTTTGGCAATGGTAAAAGTAATACTATTAGCAATAGCATACTGCAAGAATGCTTAAGTCTGTGAAAGAGCAGGCAATGTTAGCAGCTGTTGCAACTGCAGTAGTAGAGACAGACACTGGATGTGGCTTGAGTGGTAAATCAAGGGGATGGAGAACTTGGGCCTACCAGCTTTAAGTGTCTCTCTTAGGTGTAAATCCCATTCCTGTTTCAAGTGTTATAGCACTTTAAAAGATTTTAACCACTAGTTAGGGATGGTTTGAAAACAGCACAGAATAACAACCAGGGCCAATCTGGCTGGTTCCATTTGCCCCCCAAGTGTCTGTTACTGAGAGTTAGTACTAATGACAGCATCAAAAGTAAGATTTGGAGCATTAGTAATATTAGTATTTGAATTGGTACAAGCAGTAGTAGTTAATACAGGACAACAAAGTGAAGAGTGATGGGAAGAGGAATTGATAAGAGAAACAAATGTGTTTGTGAGAAGAAAAGAGATATAAACAAAATGAGGATAAATGCCTAAACACTTGCTAATGCTCCTAGCCCTTTTGGAAATTTACCTTTTCCCTAAAATTTTCAAACCAGTCAATATATCTGACACCTACAAAAAAGAAGAAGAAGAAGAAGAAGAAGAAGTCAAAGTCAAGGAGGAGAAAAAAGGAGAAAGTGGTAAGAAAATCAAACACAATTCTGAGAACAAAAGGATCTGAATAATAAGAAATGATGAAGTGGAAGGGAAATGCAGCATACTTTTTTTTTCTAAAAGACCTTCCTGATACAGAGGGACCAACCTTTAATCAGACATGCACTTATCACTCAAAATATCTATCCTCCTAGTAACTATCCCCTATAATTTCAGGGCCGAGAACAAGAAGGGCCAATTAATGTTTAGTAAATAATAAATAAAAAAAATAAAATTCTGTGACTAAACAAACTGTGTTGTATCAGTCTAATCATTTCTAAGACATTATTTACACAACGAAAATGACAACAATTTTTTCATAATGAAAAAATACATTGTATAATATATTTTTTTTACAGTAGTGCTTTCAAAACAAACATTGCAAAAAAATGTATTTCTTTGCTGAGTAATTAATAAATTATGATATTTACTGCTGTTGACATTTAACCCATTCATCCTATTACAATTTCTAAAATCTTCTATTATGTTATAGCTCAAAAATATAAATAAATACACATCAGCTTTTTTCCCTTCTGTAACTAAAATCTATTACCTGTATACTGAAAATGGCACATCGTCTTTAAGGAAAATATCAAATAGTAAAAGCTGCTTTGATAACACTTACCAATACAAAAATTTCCAGTTTGGTGGTAGGCTTATCTCAAAATTGGCATTTTTTGACACTGGTCCTTCTAGCTCTTACCACTAGAACTAAAGATTATATATTTTGGTATATCTATATTTTACATATATTTATATCTATTGGGAATTTTCTCAGATTATTAATTTCCATTTCCTTAAATAAACACATTACTTTCATAATACCTTTCACTATTCATACATTTTGTACATTATGCTTTATCTCATGGCTCTCAGTAAAAACAAGAACACGGAATGTTTTCCAAATTTTGGGCAAGTAGGAAAAGGTAATTTCTTTTGGTAAAGGCAAAAGCATTAAAAGCATTATCCTAACCATATCTTACTTGCATGACACTTTTCATGACTCTGCATTCATATGAGATCCCTGAAGGGGAGGGTAGAGTGGAAATTAACCCAAAATATCTGTGACAAAAATGCTTTGTAATTTCTAAAATGAACACTATAGCTCCCCTATTCTATAATATGGCATTCCGCGTAGATCCCTCTACACTTTCTTCAAACTTACACACTAAGCCCCATTTCATTATTTTTGGCAAGACCCATAATTTTTATTCTATTTCCTTATCAATTCCATGGAGACACTCAACACTAGCTATGCAGAATGTATTAGGCTGGTTACTTTATAGGAAGATGCAAATACAACTGGATATTACAATCTAGTTAGGCACAATTCCATGGCAAAGTTGAATAACTGGTTTCAGTATTGTGTGCAATGTTTAGTCTGGCTTACTTCATGGCAAAAACACTTCTGCTGTTTTCAATAGCAGTTTTAAAATATTTACTGCCTAAAAGTATTTAGTATTCTTAACCTATTAATGCCATGCAATGTTCACTGTGGTTTGTTTTATTAATTTTGTTACACATCGATGGTTGCAAAATCACCATGGAGTCAGTTACAAGGCCTGCCTTATCTCACACGTTTACCCCATTTCGTGAAATTTCAGGAAATAAAATTATTTTTATTACTATTATTACTGTTGAGAATATAATAAAGATTTTTTTTAAATGTTACTAACAACAACAACAGCAACATCAATAACAACTTTTTCCCTGAAAATTCAGGAAATGATGTAAACTGCTGAGACCAGAAAGGCTTAGTAAATGACGCCTTGGCAACTAAATGCTTATGAAGTAACAGGTAAAACAAAGCTACTTTGAACAGTGCATGTACCTGGCACTAATTGGTTAAATTCACATAAACAATATCTGTACAATGGCACTAAAATGCATTTGAATGCATGTGTGACAGATAATGTATGTAAACAGACATGCACACACAAACACTGTAATAAACATATAATATGCATGTCCCCTTATGCATGTCAAAGAAGACAATATCCATTAACCACACCATACAAAAGTACAAAACTGGTATCATTCTACGGTGTGCTACTCTAACACCAAATGGAGTGATAAATAATTAGGTGTTCCTGACTTATGTTCTAATCATTATTCTATCTTTGTAGAAAACACTGGAAAAGAAAGTGGAGATAAAAGGAAAGAAAGAAATAGGGCAACAAATCAAAGTCAAGAAAATTGTACGTAACGGAATGAAGATAGAGAGGCTCGAAAAATACTATACATAGAGATTCATCAATAATATCAACAGTTACCAACATCGGGTTTTGATCACTTTCAAACTACCTCTGAAAATCTTTCAAACATAATCAAAGGCAGTCATGGCGATGGAGGTAAGACATTAATAGGAATACTGGCAAGACAACAAGCAACACACAAACATCACAACTTTGAAGCTTTATAACAAACAGACAGCCACAACATTCTCCTGTCCAGAAACAAACAAATACATTTTCAATGGTTTTTCCTTTATCTGAAGACAAAGAAATCAACTGCTCACAGTGCTGTTATGCAATCCCTCTGCTGTTGAAATCTAGAAGGATCTGTTTGTTAATATAAAAACATACCACAGTTCCTCAGAATTATTAACCCCTTTCCGATGGGTCATGTGTACAGGCGTCATAACATACTGCTTGGTCTACGGAGTACAGCTTAATGTGCGACGCCACGCCAGGGTGTGTGGAGCAGGAAATTTTGCTACATGTAGCGGAATCCCGCGCTCAGTGTCTGGACGTTGCCAGAAATCACCAGAGTTCATGATGCTCAGAGATTTCTGATACCCATCAGTATTGGGTTGAAAATAACATGCAACAGGAAATTTTTTGACACCTAACATGAAACAACGCCATATAATCAAGCAAATTACAGAAAGGATTAGAATATGGAATTCAATATGAAATATACACAGCCTGCCCTAGTTCTATTCAAGACTCCCATTTGAGTTACCAAAATAACATGAATATCACCTCACTAGAGAACTTCTTTAACTTGATGCTAGCTTCATACACTTCTGATTGTCTACAAAATACATATCAAAGATAGCCTTAATCCAGCAAATTTTTCAAGAATGTTGGCACATTCTTTCTTAAATATTTTAAAATGCAAATTTTATTACTAACCGATGCACTTCATTTGAATTGCTTTTAACAAACACATTTCAAATTCCAATTATAAGGTTTCCTTGTAAAACCATAATATCATGCTAGAAACTACTAGTATGATGTTGACCAAAAGCCCAAAATAAAAAATTCCTTTTGTATGTGGCTTGGTCATTCAGTCTTTTGAAATTCCGAAGTTATAAATCTGTCTTCTCAGTTTCTCTGTACTATCCCAACACTTTGTCAAGTTAGTTAAAAAAAAAATTACAAATCTAATGAATCCTATTTAGCTGTAAAATCTGCTCGTCTCAGAGGTACCATGCCAATACTCTACCGTTCTATCTGTAGCTTGGTGAATATCACATTTAACCCATTGCCATCAGGGATAACATGTATGTTTAACTTATTATTTGTGAATTTAGGTTACTAATTGTGGCAACACATATCAGGTACTAAGTCAGCAAGGAGTCACTTAACAGCCCTACCTATCTCATCTGTCTACCCTTTTCCTTGACCTTCAGATATATTTGTAAAAAAATCATAATACTATTAATATTCTTAACAACACTGGAATATTCATAGTGCTAATAATAATAATAATAATAATAATAATTATAATAATAATAACAAGATGGACAAATAGTATCTTTAAAAAAATCAAGAAAACTTAAGGTGAGGTCGCATAATCCTACTAATTAACTCCTTGGTGGCTGAGCCCTTGTGGAGCCATATATTTCTAAAGACATTTCATAAATAAAAATACAACGGACATTGCATGTTCCTGGAGGCATTAGGTTGATCAATATTATATGAAGTTTCAAATAATGTTCCTGAAAATGGCAAGACAAAAAAAATGACTGCCATTTTTATAACCTATCGGATGACACTGCTGACTACTTTTCATGAAAATGTGAGTACAGGAAAATATAAGATATAAGACCACCAGTTTTAGTCCTTCCATTTCCCATGTATGTTCTCTAGTAACATCCTCTATTCATAGCAAAAGCCAGTCCCTCCATATCAAGTTGACTACTCAATGCAACCAGTGTGTGAGCCACCAGCTTTGACTCATGAATCTGAAACATACAGGACCTCCTCATAGTGGATGTACCTCAGATACACGAGTCAAAACCGCCAATTCACACGCTGACATGCTGAGTGATGAGCTAGGAAGCAGGGGGACTACACTTAACATTATAAGGATAAAGAGGAAATTTACTATTTGCTATTCCTTAGATGAAACCCAGTACACTGAGAACAGCTTAAAGAATGGTAAAAAAAATCATTCTAGATCTAATCCATCTAATCATTATTCTCCCTTTCAAACACATGTGTGTTTCATGAACTCTTTATATGCAACTTGAAGGCAATGGAAAGTTTCACAAACATATAAGAATAACAAGACTATATTCTCATTGACAAAATATATATTACAAAATCTGTATGTACTATACAAGATAAAAGACAAAGTGAGCCATAATATATAAGCGAATATACATCCCTTACAGACATTATACAGTGAAAGGATAAAGCACCAATAAAAAACTTATAGAAGTTACATATACCTAATCTATCCTTTAATCACAGAACAATGGGTCTTTTATTGGGATTATATACATGATACTCTCTCATACCTGGAAATAATGTATGTACTGAAAAGTGAATGTAAATGGTGGCTCACTCAATTCTCACATTCTTTACATATCTCAATAACCGATATATATTTCCATGATGTTACAGTCATAGGAAATTACTACAACTTCCCACCACCATGCAAAAAACACACATCTTCTCCAAGCCAAAACATCAAAAACTATCTGGAATCGAGCTAGCAAACCAATGCCATAATCTCCAGTATATCTGTTATCTTTACCCTTTACCCCTTTTGGGCTCTTTGCCCATTGCCCATGTCACTCACTCTGCTATGCCTATTACAGCACGGGCCTCCTGCATCATGAAGACAGCCTTTTCCAGTGCTGTTAGGAAATCATAGGCAGAGGGCGAAGCATCAGGAGGAGCGGAAATGGAAACCTCATCTTCGTCTTCTCCAGCTAGTGTATACTGAACAGTCACCCCTGTTACCTTGAAGTTGCCTGCTGAATCCTAGTGAGTAAAGATATGAATATTTATTACATTTATTCACACTAATTCAGTATGCTAATTCATACACCTTCACTAATTATTCCTGGTCACATAAAAATGAATGAAAACACCCACACACACATATATAAAAGAAATACTTTTACCTGGAATCTGTTGGCAACATGAAGGCCTGTGACTCTGTGCATTGGTATGGACAATGGTGTTAGGTTATCAAGTTGTGATCCGGACAGTATCAAGTATCGGTGATCGGGAGACAATCGGCACTGCACCAAGCATGATTCTAAGTCAAACTGATCCTGTGCACTCTGACTTAAGATGGCTCCTGTAGAATTAGAAAGTAAAGATTTAGACATAGCCCTGCTTTATCATTAAAGTAAATAATAAAGGAACAACTCCATTGTCCTTCAAATGTAGCAACAATCAAGTGCCTTAAACCAAGCACAAAGGTCAAATATCACCCACCTGTAATGAGTGTCTTCAGGTCCTTGTTATAAAACAAGTTCTCCTTTGAGGTGGTCTCTGCGCAGGGGGAACACATCCGCACCGGGTCCAGGAAGCACATCCTAGGGAGTGCCAGTCGGGTCTCACAGCAGGAAGCACAGCAGACCCGCCCACACCTCCGACAGTGGTGCTATAAGGTTCTTAGATGACAGTTTAGTATGCCATTACAATATCTGTCCTATAAGGAAGTAGCTGAGCTTTACAATTGTAGTCTACATTAGATTTACTTTATGTATCATCAAACCATACATAGTATGGTTACTATTTCATATACCAGTTTTAAAATACAAAAAAATTAAGGGGGAAGAAAATATAAAAAATGATAGAAAAAAAGAATCTCAACACTAATAACAACAACGGCAACAATAACAATAATAATAATGATAATGATAATCATGATGATAATGATAATAATAATAATAATAATATTCATAATAATGACAATAATAATAATAATAATAATAATATTCATAATAATGAAAAAATTAACAAAAGCAAAATATGCAAGTTAGATGTTGGATAATACCAAAATTACATTACATGCATTGATAAACAAGAAATAAATAACTATATATAAGAAATAAACACAGAGAAAGTACCAACAAAAAGTAGATTTATGACTAAGAACCAGGAATAACCATTCCTACTAATAAAAATAAATACATAATTTATTACAAACGATAAAAGATGCATACTATACATACCCTTCGTTTTAAAAAGTCAAACTTTTCCTTGCAGTCCATACAAGTTGGGCTCTGCAACGAAAGAATTAGGATGAAGATTTCATTCAATTTCGATTCACTGACAGAGAAAGAACGATTTATCTAAACTCAAAATTAACTGTGCATTAATACACATTACCAATCTGCATACGCTCTATTAGGAAGGGCTCTACATATACACATACTAGTGGGGGGTATTACACTTATCATTAAGTCTCTTGTGTCTTGTTTTATTTATCTATCCCTACTATCATCATTCCCCTTTATCATTACTACTAATACCTTCATTACCCCTGTTTCACACTATTGTGTGTGTCATATTTACCAGTATAAAACTCTGTATTATGCCCTTCTGAAAACTAAAGTTATGACTAACACATATATATCTATAGTGTGGCATCAAGCATGCCAACTTTTTGTCTCTAACTTAGAGGAAGCTCACCAACTGTTGAATTAAGACATGATCGGGCAAGAAAAAACGAATATGCAAAACTGTTTATCAATACTGAATGGATGTACCCTAAAAACAGACAAAAACATCAAACACTACAAGTAGCAAGAAGTGATTTCCATTATTTTATAAACATTGGGATAAAATGTAAAAGTGGGTGATGAAATCAACATATTACTTAGTGAAAAGCTAATATTCTTGACTCTAGAAAAGTGAAATTTATAACATGTTATTAATTAGATTCATTTATCAATTTGGGTCAGGTGTACAGAATAATATAATCACCAGAATTAAGTCTACAGTTAATGGGGAAAGGGTTAAGGGGGTGTTCTTCATTGGATACAAAACTCTGATTCAAATTAATCAAATGCAAAAGAATTTAATTGGGAGAGGAAGAGGGTAGAAGTGGAAACATAAGATGGTGGAAAAATAGATACAGAGGGGATGTAGAAACTTCTTGGGGGGAAGGGGGAAGGGCAGAGTGAAAAATAATACTGGAGCAGGAAATATGAGAAAAACTTCAACAATGTGCTTCCTGTCTGGCCTTGCATAAAGTGAGGCCAAGTTTGAATCTGAGAATTGCTACCTCAGACTCAAACTTGAAAGTAGGGCAGTCCCTAAAAAATACATTATAGAAGCCATTGCAGTTGGCACACATGCTTGACTGTGCAGAGCAGTTTGTTCAATAATGACCAGAATGGGCACATAGAGCAGCAGTGTCTGGTAGGGTGGTCTAGATGCCCAAAATTCAGACACTGGTGGGGGTTAGATTGATATGGTCATACAGGGAGGTGCTCTCTGCCAATATAAACAGGGGGGGGGGGAGTCATGTCTATGGAAAGTAATCTTGGCAATAATGGCGGAGGACTTACGGTGGCCTCTAGGAGAAATGGTGTAGCACTGTACTGATACTGCATCATAGTCCGAGAAGCAGGTGAGTAAGTCTTTTCTACAATCTGACCAATCCTTGTCGTAGACAGGGCAGTTTGTCAGGGAGATGGAGGCAGTTGTAGAGGAGGAGGAATGCTTTCTGGAGGTTGAGTAATGACCTGGGTAGATGATTTGGACTGGACTGAGGTGATAGTAGGCTAGTAGCAATGTTCAAAGTTGTGGTCAAAGGAGAGTCTGGGGTTGAGGAACCAGGAGAATTAAAATCAGTGGGTCTAGCTGATAAAGGGCCAAGCCTTATTGATGCTAATAGGGGTACAAAATCTTTATTACCAGCCACGGTAAGCCTGAAGTATGATGGGGAGAGAAACAGTCCACTCCTTGAGGGGTAAGGGCTAGACATCTAAGGAATATGCCCGTGGTTTCCCCAGGCTGTTCTTGACTGGCACGAAGTCAGCCTTTCATCCTTTCAACACAACTCTCACACCTTAAGAAGTGGATAGAAGAAAGGGTAGGAGAAGAGACGGAAACTGAAAGAGAAGAAGAAAAGACCATGCAAAATTTGTTGAATTGAGGGATGAGACCTAATGTAGGGGGTGATCTCCAGCACTGGGTCCCAGTCTACTTCCTAAGCCCCTCTTGACAACAATGGGGAAGGGATTTGGTGTACAGTTTTACAATACCTGACATGTGGCAATCTACATTTAGGGTTAAAGAATATTCATTAATGAAATATTAACCCATCATTGCCTGGAACTGTATGTACATACATGACAAATTCACTGATGGATGGTATGTAAGCATATGCCATGCCCACAATGAGTTTAGTTTATTAATTGTCATTACACATAGATGGCTCTTCAGGAACTTAGTCACTGGTGAGCTCATTACTGGTGCTATCTATATCATTTGCTTTCTCTTTTCTTCAATTATAAAATATGTTTCTACTGAACATTGGTATCAGTATAAGGGAGGAAATGGGTGCAGACATTTGAAGTAAAAGAATACTGTATGACAGTGATCTATATTTAATGCAAACATCATAAAAGAAGTCTCCAGATCTGATAATATTCCTGGTTTCATGCAGAAAACCTGTGCTTTCATAGGAATGCTACTTCCTTCAATACAAACACTGATATTATACCATTACAGGACATTTAATTAATTTACTGGATTAGTTTTTTTTTTTTTACTTTATCACACTTTATCTGTCCATGGGTTTTCATGAGTCCTTGTTACAAGCTTTTGGACCATTTCACTTCATAAAGACAACTAGGAGCCTCAGATCTATTAGTACACCAGTCAACTCTAAAATGGCCCTGAAGCCTTGAACTCTGCGAGTCTACATGGCTGATGTGATTTTGGCCAAATGTAAAAAGCATTTTGTTCACCTATTCTTGCCCACTTTTAATTCCATTTATACATATACCTTCCAAATCAACATTTGCCAACTTTCACAACACATAAAAAAACATTAAACACAAACCTTAAAATTGACAAAGGCTATTCCTAGAAAATATTAAAATAAAAAGAAACAAGAAAGAAAGTAAGCTATAGCTACTTGGGTATTCTGAAGAGAAACATATATGGCAATACAAAGGAAACAAAACAGATTTCAAAACTGGCTGATATGAATAACTCCAGATTGTTGTGCAATAGTCTACCCACACACATATAAACAAACCAGATAGTACAGCATTGGGTGCAGTATTACCCAATTCCTTATTAACAATTCTAATGATGTTCTAATGTTTGCACTTATATGTATCAGTGATGTCTTGCTAGGCAGCCAGCGGTCCAGACATTATCATGATTGATAGATAGGGTATGCAGTAATATAAATGTGAATAAATATCTATTCTCATTTAAATTCTACAAATACATTCTATTTTGGCATTCTTTCTTCCCTATATCTGCATTACTTTTTATATTTTGAAACTTCCAAGTTACCTTTCCTGCCTTCTAAAACAAGAAATATTTTAGGGTGTAACCACAGGTCTGTATAAGGAATAAGATAAAACATAGGAAATATTATGATGCTTACAATACAAGTACAGACAAAACACATTTCAGTATGCATTTATTAAAAATAATGAAGAAGTCCCCATAATAAAGAATCTGTTCAATTGAAATTAATAATAATTTACTAACAAAAATAGTACTCTTGCTCTTCCTAATTACTGTCATTTGCAATGTATTTTTTCAATGAAATTCCAGTCTATATGGGCCCTTTTCAATTCAAGAGGACAATAAAAAAAATAAAAAATAAAGGCTCTAACTTAAAACTGATAATTTTTTCAATTAGTGATTTGATTAACAAGTTCTTTTTGGTCATGATTTGTGATAAACCTGAACGACAAGATGGGACTTTCTGTTTATGTGTTATATTCTGAATAAACCCATTCGATAAATATTAGTCTTCAAAATTAGTTATGGTTTATGACTGTCTTGGTTTCAGAAAGGCTTCATATCTTACATAAGACCAACATTGACTCTTTCACTTTGATGTAGATAGGGGCTTTCTCATGTAGCAATAAATATAGTTACACTAGTGCAATGAAAAGGCTCTAGTAAAACTGTATAATGTGTTTTGAACTATATAATTGTATATCTAAGCATTTAAGCTTAAAATTATAATCACAGGCATTCCTCGATGATCATTACCATATCCTATTGGAAGACAATATACCACTGACATTGTGATGTGAACCCAGGGTTATTCATAAGCCATATTAACTGTACTAAAATAATAAGGAATACATAATATAACTAATTAAATAGCAAATGTTCAGGATATAGATATGTAATGAATTAACACCTTTACAACAGGATTCCCCATACCATAATGAGCCAAGTACCCAATAACTGCAGTCTGGACTAAACAAGCAAATTGCTGTTTAAAATAGGCTATTCTTGCCAAAAATAGATGCATAGGGTTTATGGGTTTTTGCGCTGACAGACTGGATGCTGTCCTATTCTGTAGAATAATCCACAATTATCTACCAGTAATGTAGGACAAACAATTAACCCAGAAATGTCACAATGTACAGATGAGCTTCAGGAAAATGATGAAAAATATTCGACTTGTTCAAAGCAAAATTTATATACCATTCATAAAACAAAAACCTTACTGTTAGAGGAACTGATAAATAATAAACAATTCAAAAGAATCAATACACAGTAGGTACAAAACGATACTGCGTATTGCACTGAAATGAAGGTCAACATGTAACTTGTACAAAAAGCGAAATCATTTTAATATTATCTTCCTACCTAACTTTATCTAACTCGAAGCCCTCTGTTCTTACCATTTTGTCGGGGATCCATTCCGGTTCTCTCAACTCAAACGGACTCCTGTCTGTGTCCTTTAAGGGTATTATTCTCAGCCCAGATTTGGAGCGGACGAGTCTCTTCCCTGAATTGGTTACTCCTGCCATGTTTGTTTACTGAAGGGTAGAGACTATTGGGTCAAAGAGTTTAATTTTTCTTCGAGAAAATCTTTCGTTGATTACCTTCGTGTATTAAAATGTTACCTAACGCTTAAATGCTGAGACTAATTATTCATTTTATACGTAACTTAAATGTACAGTTCAGCTGATCATCAACATAAATCTTTTCAAGAATGAAAAAGATTTTAGGTCAAGCCTCTCTTGAGAAGGGGGGCGTGTTCGCAGATTAACCAATGAGGAATAAAGTTTCTAATTTATCTCAAGATTTCCACCAATCAGAATTGAGCGATCTATTAAACACCTTATCGTGTCCATAAGTATTGGCCAAAGTACTACGAAATATTTAACACCTAAATAATTTTAAAAGTCTGTTAAAGGTTAATACCCAGTCTGATTATAAGATGTGGCCGGTCACGTCAACGAGTCCAAGAGTAAAGTAGTTTATGACAAAAAAGTTGCATTTGCGAACTACGATTTCTAGGTTAATGAATGCAAACTACTCGAGGCTTATCAACAGTTTGATAGGAGGCTGCTGTTGAGCTTCACGCAGACACGAAAAGACTGCGATGGAACGAAAGGTCTGTCACGCCACGGTAAGTAGTCGAAAGTTCCTGCTCTCTGTAGTGAATGAAACACCTTCCTTGTTAATTCTGCGGAAGGGATTTTCGCTGTTGTGTGATTTTTGTCAGCTGGATGGCTTGAGTTAGAAGATAAGAGCAGGAAATTACATTTTGT